TCAAAAGATGAGAGATAAGGGTCAGGGTTGCATAGTGGGTAAAGCCTCTGCCTGTGACGCTGGTATCCTATTCAGATGCTACTTCGTGTCCCGGATCCTCTGCTTCTGATCAGCTCCCTGCTAATGCACCTGGGAAGGCAGTGGGAGATGACCCAGGTGCTTGGGCTGCTGCACTAATGCGGGAGACCTAGAAGAGGCTCCTGACTGCTGGCAGCTAGCTGCTGGCTCCTGCCACTGCAGCTCTTTAGGAGGTGAGCAACAGATGGAAAATGGATCACTCCTCCTCTCTCTTCTCTTCCTCTCTTCCTCTTATCCTCTCTCTGTGTAACTCTGTCTTTTAAATAAATAAGTTTTCCTTTTCAAAATGAATAACATCATTTGCAGCATAATGGACAGAGCTGAAAAACATCTATGCTAAATGAGAGAAGTCAGACGTGGAGAGACAGATGTCTCCTGTGCTCCCTTATATGTGAACGCTAAACAAACAGGGGCCCACACTGTGGGATAACAAGCTGAGCTGCTAATCTCACATGGGCAACACTTCGAGTCCCGGCTGCTCCGTCTCTCATCCAGCTTCCTGCTGTGTCATGGAAAGTAATGGAAGATGCCCAAGGGCTTGGATCCCTGTCACCCACAGGGGAGAGCTGGATGAAGGCTCAGGCTCCTGACTCTGGCCTGGTCAGTGTCAGCCTGTGCAGCTCTCACTCTCCCTGTGTAACTCTGCCTTTCCAATACAGAAATAAATCTTCAAAACATAAAGAGAGAATAATGTACTGAAAAGGACATAGAAATCATAATCGACCATATGGATCAGTACACACTCCACACATGCATTAAAATGCCACAGTTTATAGAAACACATACAGTAATCATGCATGTGTAGATCAGGATACATGGGACTTAACATCCCAATTCTGAGTGTGAGGCTGGCCTACCATGGATTCTGGATCAGGACGTTAAGCATGTTGCAGTTCCATTGTTCCCTCTGTCTGACACCCACCAGCTCTGGAAAAGCCATCTGCCTTGGCACACACAGCCCTAAGGAAAGGACCCGAGGCCAGGCTGTCTGATCTTCTAGTGGCCCCTGCACCCCTGGGCCGTTGCACACATCCCTGTATTCAATCAACTGCTGATGTAGATGCCACTGGGAATTGATTTTTTCAAATGCAATGAAGGTCTCCATCAGTTGGCCCTGAGACGGGGTTACTCTGGGTTGGACTGGCCCGTCTGGGGAGCCCTTTAAAGGACCGGGTCCTCGCTGTGCGCAGATTCACATGGTTGTCCCTGTCTGTGACAGCCATTCTGACAGGGCCAGGGGTCATCTCCTTGGGGTCTTGACTTGCATTTCCCTGAGAGCTGGTGCTGTCGAGCATTTTCCATATAGTGGTCATTTCTGGTTCTTTCAAGAACTGCTTATTAGGCACTATGCCCATGTCCTAACTGGACTGACTGGTTTGGTTGTTTTGGTTTATTTTGGTTTTAACAAATGCTGGCACAGATGTATGCCGGAGTCCAGCTCCAGCTGAGTTTGGAACTCGCGAAGGGTGCGTGGATGAGGCGCAAAGAAAGAAAGAGACGGACCACTAGGACTTCATCATCATAATGGACTATGCGGGAAAGCTGTCTGCTTTATTTATACACAATCAGTCAAACTCTGTCTCGGGCTTTTTACGTCACAGTCAAGTGGGTGTTTCCAAAGATAACTCTGCCGTTTGTTTCACCTAAGGCTAGGTTGTTATTCACCTGGCACTTGGCACCTGGCACCTGGCGCCTGGCTAGGAAAAGGTTTTCAATAGATGGTGCATATCAGTCAGTAACACATTCCTACCACGATTACTCTACAGCTTTGTCTTGAGACAGTCAAGGAAGGAAGAACTTCACAGGCGGCACTAAAAGATCAAAGAAAGAAGGAAAGAATAGATTCCACTACACCTGAAGACAGAACACCCTTGATTAGCATAGGATCAAAAGGGGAGTTAGCACCCTTGATTAGCATATTGCCACAGGATGCAGCCATAACAGCAATAACAGCTTTTTGGCTAAAAAAACGGCAACAGCAACATCAGCTTCTAAGCTCCTATTGATATTTAACAGTAACTCTGCAGAGGCAGACAATGCCTAAATAGATTACAGAAATCTCAGTGGGGTTGTCCGGTGTCCATGCAAAGGGAGGTGGAGCTGCATTCAGGTGTTGTAGAGACATCCGCTGGGCCTTGCCACACAGCGGGAAGTTCCTTGCGGCCCTGCCTGCAAAGGAGCGATATTCTTCACACATTCCTGTCTTCCACATCCATCACACGGACCCCAGCAGATGTAGAGAAAGGGAAAATTGTATACAATGTTATCAGGAATGTAAATTAATGCAACCATGCTGCAAAACAGTGTAGAGATTTTTTTTATTTATCTTAAAATTGCAGCTTCCATATGATCCAGAAATCTCATTCCTGGACACACAACAGAAGACCTGAACTCATTGTCACAATGGAACCTGCTCCACTGCTTACAGCAGCACTGCTCACAATGGCCAAGATTTGAAATCAACTAAGATGTCCATCATCACATGAATGGATAGAGAAAATATGGCATAAACACACAATAGAATATTATTCAACTACCAAAAGAGTCAAGTTCTCTCATTTGCACCCAAATGGTTGAAACTGGAGGACATCATGCTGAGTGAAATGAGCCAGGCACTAAAACAAATACTGCATGCTGTCTCATGTGGGAGCTAAAAATTTAAACAGTAAACCTTCCCTCTGAACATAGAATGTTATGATTGGAGGCCAGAGAAGAAGAGGAGTTAACGGAGTTGTGACCAAGATAAAGAGAGGGACTGAGAGTGGGAGGGGTTCAGTGTCAGGCATGACATCCCCCCAGTCCCTGACTCTGAGGACCCTGGGACAGGTAGTTGGGAGCCCTGGCTGTGAGAGCTGCTCCCCACTGAACCCTGACAGCTATCCCACGCACAGGACCCCAGCCCTCCACCTGCAAGGAGTTGGACTCTGCCCCAAGCTCCAAGGAAGCTGGAAGAGGACTCCAACCTCAAGAGGACAGCTCAGCTCTGTGAGACCCTGCCCAGGAGCACGGCCACACCAGGCTTGGACTCTGACCAGGGAATGGGAACAGGGAGGAGTGTGGTTCTGAGCACCCAGGTGTGGTAACCTGTGATGCAGGAATGGAAAGCTAGCAATACCTGGGTCCCAGTGTGCACCTGACACCCCAGGAAGTGTCATCCTTGCTGGAGGGATTCGTGAACTCTGGTGAACACTCCTCCCATGAGACAAAACCTTCCCTAATGTTTGTTTTGTATGCTTGTCACATGATGCAAATAAACACTAATACAATCTTATTTGGCTCTTTGGATTAACTGAGTGCCTTTTGTCAGCATGTATCACTCTGTGTGCTGGGGTTACAGCTTTGACCAACAGCCCTAAGTCTGTGCTTATGGGCCCTACATTCTAGAGGTTTCTCTAAAGTGAGATGGAGCCATTACAGTGAGTTACCTAACAGTCTACTTGTTTACATGAAAGGCAGTGTCAGGGAAGGCACTGTAGCACTGGGTAGGTTAACCACCCCAGATGAGAGCACCTGTGTGACTCCTGACTGCCCTGCTCGCTGCTAGCTCACCTGGGAAAGCATGGCAAGATGGCTCATGTGCTTGGGTCCCTGCAACCACAAGGAGGCCTAGATGGAGCTGTGGGCTCCTGGCTCCAGCCCAGGACACAGCAACTCTTGGAGAGTGATTCATCGAGTGAGAAATCCCTTAATTTCCGATGCCTTCCCAGGTACATCAACAGGAAGGTGGATGGAACTAGAACAAACTGGACTCCAAGAAGCCCCGGGATATGTGATGCTGGCCTTGCAAATGACATTTAACTCACAGCACCACAGCAAACGCTGCCGCTGGACTGTTTTCATGAAGCAATGATACACACAACTCACATCAGCGAGGCAGCTGACCACAGCAGAAATGACGGTCCCTGGGTGGCAAAAGAGCGACCATGTTAGGGCCCTAGTTCAGGACTGAGAGGGGGGTAGGAGAAAAGGCAATTATAAAGGAAGAGCTAAGAGGAGGTGAGGACAGGGGCAGAAGTCTGGGTGGTTTTTTTTTTTTTTAAGATTTATTTCTTTTTATTAGAAAGTCAGATATACAAAGAGGAGGAGAGACAGAGAAGAAGGGTTCACTCCCCAAGTGGTCACAAACGGCTGGAGCTGAGCCAATCCGAAGCCAAGAGTCCAGAGCTTCTTCTGGGTCTCCCATGGGATCTAGGGTCACAAGGCTTTGGGCCTTCCTAACTGCTTTCCCAGGCCACAGGAAGGGAATGAGATGGCAAGCAGAGTTGCCAGGATTAGAACAGGCTTCCATACGAGATCGAGGCACGTGGAAGACAGAACTTTAGCCTCTAGACCACCACACAGGGCCCAGAGCTCAGGATTCTAAAGCAGCAGGTGCTCAGGTCTCAACATGCTGTGTCCTGAATATTAACAGGAATGTCCACAGAGCCCAGCTGGGATCCCAGCATTCTGTATTTAATGCATCCTGTGGGGCTGCCTGAAATCTTATGTACTTCTGATATGAATCAAATTGAACAATAAAACACACACAGGCCTAGGTATAATCATAAAAATAGACAAATAAAAATGGACAATCCGGATCAGGTCTCTCAGGATCCCTCAGCCAGCTCCGGACCTATCCTCAGGGAGGAGACATCACTTAGGCCTGGGCAGCCGGGCACAGGGTCAGGGCACAGTCCCTGGTACCCGCCTGGCCCTCAGGGTCTCAGTCCCAGGGCGGGTCTGGGCCAGGGAAGCAAGTGCAGGGGAGTCCCCACCTCCTCCAGGGTCACTTCCCCTCTCACAGCCTGAGTGAGCTGCTTCTGCCCGGACACTCGTGACGCGGGGACACCTCACACTCCCATTGAGAGGGTTTCCAGAGGAGCCAATCAGAGCCGTCCGGTCCCGGTTATAAAGTCGGCTGCGAGGCTTCAGGATCAGACTCCTCTCAGCCATCCAGGATGGAGTCCATGGCGCCCCAGACCCTCCTCCTGCTGCTCGCGGGGGCCCTGGCCCTGACCGAGACCATGGAGCGTGAGTGCGGGTCGGGAGGGAGACGGGCTCTGCGGGGCAGGAGCGAGGGGAGCGCACGGAGGGACACGGGACCCCGGGGAGCCGCCTCCCCAGCAATCCCTAAGCAGAAGTTCCCACCACATTCCTCCCGCATTCCCTTCATCCAGCTCCTTCCCAGACGCCCCCTTTACTGTTTAGCAACACCAAGGACCCTTCCTTCCCTGCGGTTCCTTGCGAACTTAGACCCCCGGTATAACTCCAGGCGGGTGTCGGTCCTGATCTCAGCCCCTCTCTCCCCCAGGCTCCCACTCCCTGATATACTTCCTCACCGGCGTGTCCCGGCCCGGCCTCGGGGAGCCCCGCTTCTTCGCCGTGGGCTACGTGGACGACACGCAGCTTGTGCGCTTCGACAGCGACGCTGAGAACCCGAGGGCAGAACCACGGGCGCCGTGGATGCAGCAGGTGGAGCAGGTGTACTTGGACAGCCACACACAGCGCAGTAAAGAGCAGGCACGGATTAACATTGTGGACCTGAACACCCTGCGCGGCTACTACAACCAGAGCGAGGCCGGTGAGTGACCCGACCCTCCCCACGTGCGCCCAGGGCGCTCCGGGTCCCCGGGGCCGAGGTCCCCCACCCCGAGACTGCGCGCCCCGCGGAGACCCTCGGCGGGAGGAGCCGCGGGACACGCCCGGGTTTCGCTTTCGGTTTCAGCTGAAATCCCCGCGGGTCGGTGAGGGCGGGGCGGAGCTGCGTGGCCAGGGCTGACCGCGGGCGGGACAGGCTCTCACACCATCCAGAAAATGTACGGCTGCGAGGTTGGGGCAGATGGACACCTCCTCCTCGGGTACTGGCAGTGGGCCTACGATGGTACTGACTACATCGCCCTGAATGAGGACCTGCGCACCTGGACTGCCGCAGACTCCATGGCTCAGATCAGCAAGCACAAGTGGGAGGCTGCTGGTGATGCGGAGAGATACAGAGCCTATCTGGAGGGGGAGTGTGTAGAGTCACTGCGCAGATTCCTGGAGTTGGGGAAGGAGACATTATTGCTCAGGGCAGGTAGGGGCTACCCTTGCAACCTCCCCCAGGGCTGCCGCTGGGACTGTGGAGGAGGGGAGGAAAGTGGGACCCAGGACTATGTCCAGCTCTCGTCATGATTACAGCTTGGTTGTCCTCCTGGACTTTGGGTCCAGAGACAGAGACCCACCCTTCCCTCAGTGTGGAAGAGGGACCTGGGTTGTACAGGCATAGAAGATTCTGAAAGGAATCCTCTTGGTGCCCTGGACTCCTGCTGGGATCTGTGAGCCATGGCCCTTCCCAGGCCTGTCCTCATCTTCAAGCCAATGCACTCCAGGGCTTCTCAGTCTCCCTGCCTCCACTCAGAACAACACCAAATCCCTTTGACTCTGTTAGAGGCCAGGGGCCTCCCAGCCTGAACCATACCTGATTCTACATCTTTGCAGACAACAGATGATCCCATTGTCTTTATCCAGGCCAGGTCTGGGCTTGCACTGCTCCCCCATCCCTGTCCTCCTGTTCACTCTCAGGATGGCCACTGAGTATAGATTTGGTGACTGATGAAAAACATGAATGCCCTGAATGTTCCAAAATTTTCCTCAGACCCACCCACAGCACATGTTACTCACCACCCAGTCTCTGACCAGAAGGCCACCCTGAGGTGCTGGGCCCTGGGCTTCTACCCCAAGGACATCACACTCACCTGGCATCGCGATGGGGAAGACCTGACCCAGGACATGGAGATGGTGGAGACCAGGCCTGCAGGGGATGAAACCTTCCAGAAGTGGGCAGCTGTGCTGGTGCCTTCTGGAGAGGAGCAGAGATACACATGCCACGTGGAGCATGAGGGGCTGCCTGAGCCCCTCACCCTGAGATGGGGTAAGGAGGGCAAAGTGGACAGAGCCTTCAGCAGGGGCAGGGCTGAGACCTGGGGTCAGAGCCCCTCACCCTCCCTTCCCCTCTCAGAGCCTCCTCAGCCCACTGTGCCCATGTGGGGAGTCATCACTGGCCTGGTCCTCCTGGCAGCTGTGCTCATTGGAGCTGTGGTTGCAGCTGTGGTGATGATGATGAAGCGCTCAGGTAGGGAAGAGTGAAGGCTGGGTCTGAGTCTCCTGTCCCCTGGGTAGAAAATCCCCCTGCCACAAACCCTGGAAGCATCATGTACACACACCTACACCCCCAGCTAGCCCCCAGGTGCTCACACTGGCTTTAGTATGAAGCAAAAGTGAAAGGTGCACCATTTATACTCCACGGGGATGATACTGCTCAGAGGGACCCGAGTTTCAGTAGTCCCAGGTCAGGGGGATATCCCAGCTGAAGACACACCACAATAATCTGACCGTTTCCTGGATCTGCAGCCACCATTCTGGAATCCTCTCTGAGATGAGCCAGTACTCTGGGCTCCCTCTAAGCAGGTCCTCAGGCCCTGCCTTCTCCTTGCCTCTCACTACTTGTTTTCTCTCACAGGTGGGAAAGGAGGGAGCTACACTAAGGCTGTAGGTAAGCACTGGGGTGTGTTTTGGGGTCGGAGAGTCCCCAAGACCCTTGCCATAATCAGATGTCCATGGAGAAGTTGCCCAGCCAACTCCATAACTCCTCCCTCAGCCACACCCCCGGGGCTCTCACCAAGTTCTAATTGGTTCTTCCAGGTGTGGACAGTGCCCAGGGCTCTGACTGCTCTCTCACAGCTTGAAAGGTGAGACCTGGAGTTTCTATAGGGGGAATTGGCTGGGGCCAAGAGATACAGAGGGACTGCGGGATTCCTTGCATTTGCACATTGTCTCTTTTTTAAAAAGATTTATTTTTATTGCAAAGCCAGATACATATGGAGAGGTACGACAGCCTGGCTCTGCCGGGAGCAATCAGTCCGAAGGGAGCAGGACCCCAGGAACGGTTGGCAAGGATTCTGCAAGTGACAGACATGACAACTCAAGGCAATTGTATCTGAAGGCATTTTGCAAAAGCAAGGCATCAACTTATATGCAATAGATTATTGCAAAGGGACATTTGCTTGGTTTATTCATGTGGTTATATTTCTACAATTATTCCAGAGAAGTAAGTGGGACTGTTGAGGAAAGATTGTTCTCTAATAGCCTGGTGACAGACTGCAGTTCCTGTTTCTTGTGGACACAATTTGGCACCAGCTGCAGTTTTAATCATTAAGTGGTTAGCTCTCATTGTGCCTTGTGCCTTACATTAGTTTTAATATTAACCTGTCTATATTTCTTAGTTTTTCTTCCTGTATGGTTTTTTAAGCTATAGATCTCTACTATAATCTTCTTTTTAGAAATCCTCAAAAACAGTCCCGGGTAGATTTATTAAAGCTAGTGACTTGATAGTTTTTCTCTCACATTGCTTGTAATCCTTGTCCTGTCTCCTGTCAGAAGGCTTCATAGAACTATAAAGGAACGAGGAATCAAGATGGCGGAATAGGGTAAGGACACGTTTAAACGGACGGAGAAGCATTTAACCAGAATGAAGCAGAGAGGACATATTTCAGGAAATACGAAAGGACAGAACAACAGCAGAGGGGTACCTGGAGACTGACAGACACAGGAAAGCAGCGGGCACAGCAGTGTGGTGTTGCAGTGAATGATATTCCAGCACGGCGATCTAAACTCCACCAGCAGCCGGAACTCCACCAGCAACCAGGTGGGAAGGGACTTTGGGAGCTTGGGAGGTGAACCCAGACGGGGAACTCTCTGTCCTGCTGGTCCCTTTTATTTGACCAGGAGCAGAGACAGAGCAGCAGGTCCCAGGCAGGCAGTGCGAGAACAGAGTGGATTTCATAGCCCAGTCAGCCCCCTAGAGCTGAATTGTTCGCCATTTTGCCTAAGGAGGAAAGGGCAAGGGAAAGGACTGAGCATGCTCTGAGAGGGAGTGAGCTCATTTCTGACTCGGTGAACTGCAACAACGTGGCATTCTACGGGTTCCATCCAGGGCAGGTCTGGGTAGCCCTCGGATCTGACAGCCAGCAGATCAAGAACTGTTGTGGTAGCACGTTGGGCGCCATTTTGCGCACTGTGGCAATAGCTTTGGGACTGCAGGGACAACAGTGAACTGCACATGTGCTGAGCTCGTGAGAGCTTGCTGAGTCCCGCAGGAAAATAATACCAACTGTGGCATCGTACCGGTCAAAACAGGTCCGTGTGGCACCCAGACCTAACATCCAACAAGTTCTGACAAGATTAGCGCCACCAACAACCTAACTAGATAGGACACCTGGTGTCTCTTTAATCCTGGAACCCACTCCAACCGGAAGTGGGAGAAAGGTTGCAGAGACAACAGTGCAGCCTCAGCACGGTATCAGGAGGTGGAGAGTGGTGAGTCAAAAGCTGGGCTGTGGAGACCACGGTGAATATCTGACATAAGAACCCAGACCTGGAACTCGCTGGAGGTTGTGGCACAAGTGGCTGCAAGCAAAAAGTTGTGTACCAACTGCAATAAGTAAAATTGCATTGTAGACCTGTGGGTGATATAGCTTAGAAACCTGCCCCAAGAAGAAGACTCTGCTAACCAGAAGTACAATGACCAAGAGCAAAAGAAGAGACAAAGGCACAATGAATATTACTGAAAACTCCCCTGCAAAGGAGCAAAACCCTATGCCAACCTCAGAGTTAACTGAGGAAGACATTGAGAAAATGGGGGACACAGAATCCATAAGACTCATTTTAAAGATTCTGGTCAAAAATGAGAAGTTAATGCAAGAGTTCAAAGAATTTAAGGAAGCAGTAAAGGAAATCAAGGCTGGTATATCAGAAATTAAGAACACAGTAGAGCAAATTACAAGTACAGTGGAGAGTCTCCAAAATAGAATGAAGCAAGCAGAAGAAAAAATCTCAGAATTGGCAGATATCTCCTGTCACCAGGGGGAAGCAAACAAAAAGCTGGAACCAGAGCTGGATCAGGCCAAAAAAAGTATTCAAGAATTGAAAGACACTATTAAGAGGCCAAATATAAGCGTTATGGGAGTCCCGGAAGGTGCAGAAAGAGAAGCTGAGTTTGCAAATGTATTTAAGGAAATAATCAAGGAAAATTTCCCTAATCTGGAGAAAGAATTGGGAAACAAGATCCAGGAGGGACACAGAACTCCCAACAGGCTTGATCAAAAGCGATCTTCACCAAGACATATGATTATCAAGCTCTCTTCAATTGAACATAAGGAAAAGATCCTTAAATGTGCACGTGAAAAACATCAATTGACATATAAAGGAAAGCCAATTAAGCTCACAGGAGATCTCTCACAGGAAACTCTACAAGCAAGAAGAGAATGGAGTGACATATTCCAGATTCTAAAAGAAAAAAAATTGTCGGCCTAGGATAACATACCCTGCAAAGCTTTCTTTCATCTTTGAAAATGAAATAAAATTCTTCCATAGTAAAGAAAAGCTAAAAGAATTTGCCTCTTCCAAACCTGCTCTACAAATTATACTTCAAGATGTTCTCTTGACAGAGAAGAGGAATAGCACCTACCAAAACCAAAGGCAAACGGGAAGAACATCCCAGTAAAATGACAACAGAAGACTAAATCAATGAACAACCCATTCCTAAAATGACAGGACCAAAGTACCACCTATGTATATTTAACTCTGAATGTAAATTGCTTAAGCTCAATCAAACATCATAGATTAGTAGACTGGATTAAAAACAAAACCCATCTGTTTATTGTCTGGAGGAGACACACTCCAACAAAGATCAGCAAAAACTGTATCACATGGGTTTTGTTGTTTTCTGTTGGTTTCATCTCTTCAAAACACTTTCTTCTGATTAAATCATTCAATGACTCGTAGATCATACAGTGGCATCATTTTCTTCAAGAAGGTTCTTGATTTTCACTTCTTCAGCTACATGTTATACATTTAATAGCATGTTGTTTAACTTCTTGGTGTTGTTAATTTCTTTTTTCTCCTGGAAGTTGATTTTGTTTTGTGGCTCTTCATTTAAGGGAAGGTATAGTAGTTGTGTAATGGAGACTGTCATATCTAGTAACATGTCATTTAACTTCATGGCATTGTAAATTTCTATTTTTCTTTCTATTGTTGATTTTGTATCATGACTTTTCATTTAAGGGAATGTACAGTAGTTATGTAATGGAGACTGTCAACCAGATGTGAGGATGCAGTGTGGTCGGCATCTCTGTTTCCAGACAAAGATGGACTTACAGTGAAACTGTTTATATTATATTTTGACAATAGGATTCTGGACTCTCTGCCATTGTCCATGCCTGCAATGATGAACATATGACTGAGTATGAAGAACTATATGTTAATAATGATATAAAAGAACTGGGGGCGGGGAGGGAATTGGGGAGGGGATAGGAGAATATGGAACTGTATCGTAAAATGATAGCAATAATAATAAAATGTGAAAAATAAAAAAAAATTTAAAAAAAACCCACCAAAATCTAAAAAGAAAAAAAAAAGAACTATAAAGGAACATTGAGCCTTTGCTGCACATAAATTGTATTATTCCAGCCATAAAGATAAGAGCAAAAAGAGTACAGCCAGGAATGCCAAGACCACTAGAGATGCAGCCGAATCCAGGAGGCATCCTTCCTTGAAGCTTCTGCCTCGGCCTGGTGATTTCTCACACAGGCTCCACTGGAGGTGGCATGACCGAGAGGAAGATCTTCCGTCCGATAAATCATGCCCCAAGTGACCACAATAGCCAGAGCTGTGCCGATCCAAAACCAGGAGTCTTCTGGGTCTCCCATGTGGGTACAGGGTTACAAGGCTTTGGGCTGTCCTTGACTGCTTTACTGCTTTCCCAGGCCACAAGCAAGGAGCTGGATGGGAAGCGGGACCACCGGAGTTAGAACCAGCGCCCATATAGGATCCCAGCATGTTCAAGAAGAGGACTTCAGTGGCAAGGCCATGGAGCCTGCCCGCATTTGCACATTTTCAGGTGTGCCGGGCTGTTTCTGACCCCATGTACATTGACCTCAATTTCTTACCTTGTTTCTATAGTGTGAGACAATTGCCTTGTTTGGGACAGAGGGAAAGAACCTTGCTCAAGTCCTCATCCTTCTGTCTTCAAAAGCCCCACCCTCCCTTCCTGCAGTCATCTATGTTGCTGTGGGCACAGTGTGATGTGGGAGCCTGGTCCTCCCAGCCCAGCATGGACACCTCCGACTCTGTCTCAAGGCAGGTGCAAATCTGAACAGCAAATCATTTTTTCCAATTCCAATATGAGTGGCTCATGAGAAAATTATAAGAAAATTCCAAAAATTTCAGAGAAAATAAACAGAAGCACCAAGAACCTTCCAGAAGCCATGTGTCTGCTGTGTTGACTACAGGTGTGACAGGAGAGGCAGGGGAGACCTGCATAAGGGCAGGGCTGTGCCCAGGTGGTCCCAAGCCCATCAGTCTATGTCGTGGTCACTGCCAACCCATCTCAGCTGCCCCAGTGTCCTGGTCTGTCTGGTAAGACGTGCTTACCAACACCTTCCATCACAGGACTCAGCCATAGTTAGGCTGGCCTTGTCTCTGGGACCTGAGGTAGTGGAGGCTGGCCTAGGTAGGGCCAGTCAAAGCTCACACTTGAGTTCAACCCCGGGCTCCCATCCTCCTGTGTTCATTTTATTCCTTAGTATGATTGGTTAATTGCACCTGCACTTCCTGTGTGTGAACTCTAGTGGCCTTCACCTCTGTGTGTGCAGGAAGCAGTGTGGGAGGGAGTGTGACAGGAGGACAGAGGACACTTGTGAGAGAGTACAGGCTGCATAGACAACAGAGGAAGAGGATACCACTCTGCAGTGACCACAGGCAGCCTCTGTCTCAGGCTCCACTAATGAACTACAGGGTCTGGAAGGGGCAGGTGCAACATGCTGATCACTTAGCTCTCATTACTATGGGTCAGACCCAGTGCTGGGCAAGGTGGTCCAGAGTGGGTGTGAGGGCCAGGTCAGATGGCTTTCTCACCACCATGGCCAGTGTGCACTGCCCTGAGTTGGTGACCCTGAGGAAGGTGGGAAGGACACAGTGAGTCACCAGCAAAAGTGTCTGAGCAGGTGCTGTGCTGGAAGGGGATGATCAGTGCAAATGCCCTGGGCAGGAGTGAGTCTGCACACAGAGCAGGGAGCTGTCAGGAAGGCTGAGTCAGGCATCACTACCCAGCATGCCATGCACACCCTGGAAGGCTCAGCCCTGATTCTGACTGAGGTGGGAGCCACGAGACAGCTCTGAGCAGAGCAGGGATGTGTGCACCTTCTCCTGTCCAGGAACCACCCTGGCTGCTGTGTGAGGACAGGGCTGAGAGACTGTGAGGCTGGAGACAAAGCTCTAGGGCCTCCTGCCATGTCCAGGCAGGGATGCCAGTCACTGTGTGAGTGTGGGCATCGGCAGAGTTGGAGAGATGAGGTTCTGAATCCTTCTGCAGATGGATGCACAGCACTTCCTGTGGACTGCCTCCAGGGAATGAGAAGGAGGAGGCAAGGATGGACACCCAGGGCTTCAGGCTGTGCCAGTGGGGGAATGGCATTACCAAGAGAGAAGGGCGACCTGGGAGGGTGGATCCCAGGAGGGGCCACCCAGACATTCAGTGCAGGAGCAGTGAGAGCAGGAATGTTGGTGAGAAGTGACACTGAAGGGCTGGCAGTGACCACGAATCAGGGGCTAAGGGGAAATATCTGTGTGGGAAACACACTGTGGACGTGGCTCCATATGGACAACAGTTGCAGTCAGGAGTGGAGATGGGGCACCCAGGGAATGAATGGCTGTGATGAGAGCCCGAACAGTACCAAACCCTGGACTTGCAGAGCTAAGTGAGGAAAACAAGCCCATGGCCCAAGCAGCTGCAGGAATGAGGTCACTGTGAGAACCAGGGACCACAGACGTGCTGAGAGGATCACTTGAGCATTGAGAGGCTGATAAGTCTGGAGTGCACAGGGAATCTGCATGTGACTCAGGTGGGTGCTGACATTGCCACCCCAGAGCACACTCTGGAGGCAGGAGGGGAGACAGGACTCTTACCCTGACTTCAGCCTCCCCTGAAGAATGGTCACGTGAGCACACCTGGGTCTTGAGCCTCATACAGTGAGGAGCTGCTCTGAGTGCAGGTGGCCCAGCTTAGACTGGTTTCACTTAGGATCTTCCAGGCTCAAAAGGTAGGAAACAAATTCACCCAGTTCTTAATCACACCTCCCCCGACCTCTGACCTGTAGGGTATTGTGCTGGGCAGTGGTACCAGGCAGGGCAGAGAGTCCCAAGTCCAGACCCCACCCTCATCAGGCACCTTCCTGTTTAGCTGGGATGTCAGGGGGGAGGGGCAGTCACTGCACTCTCACCTTGTGATGTTTCAGCTCCCAGTGTTCACATCCAGACAGGGCACAGCCAAGGTCAAAGGCACCTGCATTCTCTGAGAGCCCCAAGATCAACCCAGCTGTCACCCACACTAGGCACACTAGGCCCATGAGCAGATAGCACCACAAGATGGGGGAGGGATCAGATAATTATTTTTATTTGTTTGAAAATTTGTCCATCCTTGTGAAAGGAGAGTGCTTCCCATCTCCTGGCCATTTCCCAAATGCTCACAGAGCTGGGAGTGGGGCAAGCCAAAGCCCAGAGCACAGAACTCTGTCCAGGCATCCTCATGCTTCATCTGCTTCCTCCGAGAGGGTGCACTGGTTGGAAACTGGGCAAAACATAGAACAAGGACTCCAACAGAGCACTGAGATGGGATCAGGTGTCCCACGCTGCATCTCCACCTCGGGTCTAGTGCAAATGCCTACATCCATGGTTTTCCATCAGGGTGGATATAAAGGAAAACACAGGATGTTAGAGACACACTGTGTCCTCTCTCCTGGTGGGGCAGAGCAGGAGGAAGGTTCAGGAAGAGCACACAGCTGAGAACATGAAACCTCCCAGGATCCTGCTGCCTCACATGGTGCCCCACACATTCTCACGCCTTGAAGCCCACAGTGAAATCCAGGAGTTGCTAAATTACCCTTCCCTTGGCTGTGTGACACTGTAGCTGACTGAAGGCAGAGGAAATGCAGAGAACCCAGTTGAGGCTGCACAGCCAGGAGCAGAATCCATGGCCTCACCCTGGGTGGTCCCAGCTGGGAACCACAGCCCTGCTGCTGGGCACAGAGGGCACAGCTCACACCCCTGACCCTGAAGTTGGACCAGAACCTGCACCAGGATTGCTGTCCCTGGTGCCCTGATTTTTACATTAGCGATGTCACTGACACGCTGTGGCTCCTGATGTTGTAGCTCTGAGGTGTGATAGAAATGCTTTTGTTGAGGCACGGTCTGGTGGCCCAGTAGCTAAATCCTCACCTTGCATCTTCTGGGATCTATAGGGACTCTGGTTCAAGTTCTAGCTGTTCTTTTTTTTTTTTTTTTTCCTCTTTTTTTTTCAAATTATATTTTTGACAATCTTTACATAGTTAATTAGGGTAAAAAGGTTCAAGGGCTATAGGAAAGTAGGTAAGACTATTATTTCCATATTGTTTCCTTCATGTTTAAAGGGGAGGTATTAAGGGAGAAGGCCCACCCAGTTTCCCACCCTCCCCAGGTCCCGGATGTAGGGTATGCTCCGAGGTTCTTGCTCAAGTGGTTTTGATATTTCAACAGTTATGAATCGTTGCCAATCTTGCCACTCCAAGCACTATGAGGTCTTTGAAGAATCCACTGATTGACATAGTCCATCATAGAGTCTCCATTTGCCCTGTATTTCACTGCCAACATATAGCTGAGATGGTTGATTGACCTGTTCTGTCTTCTCTCTTTTCTTGGTTAGGGTTCTGAGTCCAGCATTTCGATTGGGGAGATCTCCAAAGAAACTTTGTCTGAGGTGTTCTCAGACCAGATTCTTGTATGTACTAGCAAGTACAGGGCCCGGCGCAGTCCATCGCCCCAATCAGCTGGTGGTTGCGATCACTGGATTAGTTTTGTTTTCAGCCCGACTTCCACTGGAACTAATGGGTGTTGCAGTTCAGCCTGGTTCTGCCCAGCACATACTCGGCCCTCGCATAAGCAAGTGGGAGCTTCAGCCTAGTTGGAGCGATCCGCAATAACCCCCACCAGACCTGCCCCCTACCCTGGTTTGCCAGTATGTGTAGCAATAGTCCAGTCTGTCCCACACCCCATTCCTCCCCAGCCCCTGTCCTGGTTTTCTTGCCCTCCCATAGAAGTGGTAACCCAAGAGGGAGGAGCCCACTATTTCCCTCCCAGACCTCTCCCACTCCGGATTATGCACTCTCCAGATAGTTCTGTGGTTTGACTTGACAGAACTAGCCCCCAGTGCCAGCTTCTGCCAGTTAATGCTGTGGCTAAGCCCAAACAACCTTCACCCACTCTAATTTTGTTTGCACCAGTAGGAATAATCAGCCCAGCCCAGCTTTTCCCTGATCTAGCCACATGAGGCGTACAGGTGTTGTAGCCCTGCTTAGTCTGGTCTGCCCACATCCCAGCTCATGCTCTCCAGAGGGAGTAGCTGTCCAGCAAGGGACCCCCCCCCACCCGGAATCCCCCTGCCGGCTCTGCCCCCTCCCTTCCTGGTTCTCACACATGCTGGTTGGGCACTGCAGTCACATCCGGTACAGGCAACCTCACCTTGGCATTCCATATTGTGCACTAGTTTTTGTTGCAACCGAACCCAGCTCGACCCACACTGTTCTGGTGCTCGGATTTGCCAGTGGATGATGTGAACAGATTCAGCCTGGTCTGCCCCCAATCCATGCCATGTGTATGCCAGTGGGATAATTTCCATTGCCTGTTCTGGGCTGTTTCCTATTGTGCTTCTTGCGCTTACCTGCAGGGACTGTGTCCTGCCAGAGGAGTTGTCCAGGCTCCTCCATCAGAAACTCTCCCAATGCCAGATTTTGCGCATACCAGTGGGTCCATGAGCCAGCCCTACTCAGTTCACCTCCTGTCCTAGCAGGAACAGTGGCTTTTCCTGACTGGTCTTCAACCCAAACTGGTTCTTACTGTTGGATGTTTCAGCCCAGCCATGGCTCGTCCATACCCACATACAGCTCACACATGGTTCAGTAGGGGTTGAAACCTAGCCTAGTCCATCCCACATCTACCTTGGTCCTCCAGAGCACCAGAAGGTGTTGCAGTCTGGCCTGGCTTGGTGCATCCAATCCCAGTCCGCACTTATGCCAAGGGAGACTACAACTGTTTTCTGATCAGAACGCAACCCCCATTCCAGTTCACGCACCCCTTGATGAGAACCTCAACCCAGCTAAGTTTGTCCCCTTAGCTCCCCAATCAGGCCTGTTCCCAGCCATAGATCACACACATGCCAGTGGTTGCTCTGATTCAGCTTGGCTCAGCCTCTCACCTGTCCTGATCTCTGCCTTAGACACTGTGGTTTAGCATTCCTGGCTCACTCAGACCAGGAAGTGTAAGAGCCTAGCTCGCCGTGACCTGTGCTCCCTCCTGGTTTCTAGTTTTGCTTGTGAGCTAAGGTTTGCTCAGTCCTGCCTGGTCCACCCTGTTCCATTACCAATTGACACATTACAGAGCTGTTGGAGCTACTTTACCCGGCTTGTGCGACCCCCAGGTCTGGACCACGTATTCATAACAGGAACTATGACTCACCAGGGGAGTTTCCCAAGTCCCTCCACTTAATCCACTCCCAGACCAGTTCTCCTACATCATGTTTTAGCTGTTCTGCTTTCTGTCCAACATCCTGCTTTCGTCCAGGAAAAGCAGGAAAGGATGGCCCAAAGTCTTGGGACCCTGCACCCATCTGGTAGACCTGGAAGAAGCTCCTGCCTCCTGGCTTTGGATTGGCTCATCACTGGTCATTATAGCCACTTGGGGAGTGAGCCAGCAGATGGAAGGTCTTTTTCTCTGTATCTTCTCTCTGTAAATCTGCCTATCCAATTAAAAATAATTTTTTAAAAATCACAACATCAACGAAAGAACTAGAAGACATAAAACAATGGAAAAAGTATGCCAAGATCCAGGATTTGAAGAGTTAATATGATCAAATCATCCATGGTGCTTCAAGCAACTGCAGATTCAATTTGATCCCAATAAATAGATGGAGGGCTTTGTTCACAGAGACACAAGATCAAATAAAACTCCAGATTAGCAGGAGGTGAGAAATAGAGTCAGAGTCACATGAGTGAAAATGAAACCAAGACAAATGTGAATGATTAACCAAAATAAAAGCTGCTTTAAAAAAAAAAATAAGATAGGCAAATATTTAGCCAGACTAACAGCAACAACAAAATCTTTAAAAACCTCAAATAATTAAAATTAGAAATTAAAAAGGAGACATTAATGGCCCAGCACATTGCCTCACTGGCTAATCCTCTACCTCCAAGCACCTCCTTCCATATAGGAGCTTGTTCGTGTTCCAGCTGCTCCACCTCCCATCCAGCTCCCTGCTTGTGACTTGGGAAAGCAGAGGAGGATGGCTCAAAGCCTTGGGACCCTGCACCTGAGTGGGAGAGTAAGACGTGGCTCCTGGCTCTTAGCTTCACATCAGCTCAGCTATGGCCATTAAGGCACTTTGGAAGTGAAGCAGTTGATGGAAGTTATTTCTTTCTGATTCTCTTTTTATTCTGTAAAATCTGCATTTCCAATGAAAGAAAATCTTAAAACAAACACACAAATAAAACCAGAAGAACCTGGTGCTGTACCCAAGCGGCTAATGTCCTCACTGTAAGGACTTATTCCAATATCCCACCCTGGACCCTGCGCCATTTCTTCTTCCTCACAGCTCACAGAATTCGCGCCAGTCCAGCCCTCCACCAATCAGATGTAACCTGGCATTCCACCTGAGAATCCCACCCCCAATCTCCCAGCCCCTTCCCCAACCCCGCTCACTCACCAATCATCCCCAGGCATTCACCTGCAGGCACCAATCCCCTGGGGCCTTGACCTCAATCCTTCCGAATCCCCGCCCTCCACACCTGGCAGACAAAAAAAGGCCCCCAGATGGGGTTCTCTCTCTCTTGCTCTCTCTTCTCGGTTCCTCCCCCCGCTCTTCCTCTCTCCTCCTTCTTACCTCCCTTCCCTCCCCTTCCCTTGTTCCTGCCCCACTCGGTTTTCTTTCTCTCTCTCTCTCTCTCTCTCTCTCTCTCTCTCTCTCTCTTTTTCCTTGCTCTCACCCTCCTCCCCCTTTCCCCTTCCCCTTCCCCTATTCCTGCCCCGCTGGAATAAACTTCCTAAGATACCTCGTTGCGTCTGGTGTTTTCAGCTCACGGTAAAGAACCAGGTTGCGAGAATTAGCTGCGCATAAAGTATCTTAATATCGTATGACCTAGAACTAGAACTCTTACACTGTTTTAAATAACTAACACTCACCTTGCATGACCAGAATCCCATATGGCCATCAGTTCATGTCCTGTTGGCCCCACTTTCCATCCAGCTCCCTACATGTGGCCTGGGAAAGCAGTCAAGGACAGCAAAAGATCTTGGGACTCTGCACCCATGTATGAGACCTGGAAGATGATCCTGGCTCCTAGCTTCAGATTGGCTCAGTTTCGATAATTGTGGTCACTTGAGAAATGAATCAGTGGACAGAAGATCTTCCTCTCTGTCTCTCCTCCTCTCTGTATATCTGACATTTACTGAAAAGAGAGAGAGAGAAGGAGCCATTACTGGTAATTCCCTAGAAACACAAAGAAACTGCTGTGATGATACCCTTTTGGGCGCTGGTTCTAATAGTCTGACATCTCCACTTCTAATCTAGCTCCCTGCTGATGGCCAAGGAAAGTAGCAGAATGAATTATATAATATATAATATATAAAAAGTACAATCTAAATATTAAATTAGAGACTGCCATCCCAGCCCCACAGTTCTCAATGGCCACAGGGCAACAGAGGAGGCTGAATACTTCGCTCCTCTGCAGTTGTGGCTGAGCTAACACATGAGGGCCCTGGCAGGGCTGACTCAGCAGCTGCTCTTTGCTTCACTACCTTCACATCTGGTCAGGGCTGTCATCTCCATAACAATGCTGGTCACAGCATCTAAACACCTGCACTCCTCACAGGTGGCTGGGACAAAGGACAGCAGATGGGCAAGCAGCAGACAGACTGCCCAGGCTGGGAAGGAGTGAACAGAGGGATAAGGCTTGGAGAGCTCCCACCTTCACTGAGGAACCTAGGAGCCCACAGGCTCCCCAGGGATAAATGAGCACTCCAAACCTGGGGACCTGGGGCTGCAACCACTGGCTGAGCTTGAGGCTCTGTCTGTTACAAGAAACTGATCCTGGTCAGCAGTGCCAAGTCAGCATAGAGTACACGTCTGAGGATGAAGGAAAGAGAAAGGTTCCCAGATATCAGCACAGCTCCTCGAAAATGAGGACATAGTAGGATGTGGGACACAGCTAAAGAGCAACAGGCATTCATTGGATAATATGAAAGCAGCAAAGATTGTGTAAGGGATGGGAACCTGTCCCAGGAAAACGGGTTTGCTGCAGCTACTTAAGCTCCTGCATGTGAAGCCTACATCCCAGAGCAGAGAGCTGGTTCACATTCTGACCTGCTTCTTCTGATCCAGCTCCTTGCTGCAGTGTCTGGGAAAGCAGCAGAAGACAGCCCAATCATTGGGCACCTGAAAGCTATGTGGGAAACCCATTGAGAGTTCTGAGTTCCTGGATTCAGTTTGGAACAGTACTAGCTTTTATAACCACTTATGGATTGTACAGCACATGGATAGTTCTCTCTCTCTCTCTCTCTCTTTCTCTCTCTCTCTCTCTCCACTCTTCTCTCAAATAAATTACTTGTTTAAAACTATCTCAGCATGATATCTTAAGTGGGGTATCTATCTGAGGTAAGAGGGTGAGGATCCCAGGGCGCTCACAGCTGGAATTGGTACCCTTCTACTGCGGGTCAGGCTGAGGGGATTTCCCTCTCACCTTCATCTGCATTAACAACAAGGTTAGTGAAAGTAGAATCAGCTGGACTCCCAAAAGCCCAGGATGTGTGATGCTGGCCTTGCAAGTGGCACTTATCTCACAGCACCACAACAAAGGCTGTGAGATGAGAGAGAGAGAGAGAGAGAGAGAGAGAGAGAGAGAGAGAGAGGTGGGGGTTGCAAGGCGGGTGGGGCAAGGATTGGGAGGGATTGAGCTTAGTCTCCCATGACTTCCTCAGGATGATTGGTAAGTGGACGGGGCTGGGAGACAGGCTGGGAGCTGGGTGGTGGCTGGGAGCTGGGTGGTGGGTGGTAGGATTAGGTGAAATGCCAGGTTACATCTGATTGGTGGACGAATGGAACAGAGTTTATTTTGTGAGGAGAAAAATGAGCCGGGTCCAAGGAGGAATGTTAGAATCACTCCTTACAAGGGGACCACAGGGAGAAGAGAAAATGACAGGGGGAGTGCTGAAAGGAGGTGAGGACAGGGCCCCAGAGTTCAAGACTCTAAAGCAGCAGGTGCCCAGAGTCCTGAACTCCGTGGTCTGTGTCCTGGTTTTTACAGAAATGTCCACAGAGCTTCACTGGGATCCCAGCATGCAGCATTTAATGCATCCTGCGGGGCTGCCTGACATCTAATGTACTCCTGATGTGGATCAAGTTGAACAATAAAACACGCACAGGCCTAGGCATAAATAATCATAAAAATAGGCAAATAGAAATGGGCACAACCTGATCAGGTCTCTCAGGATCCCTCAGCCAGCCCCGGGCCTATCCTCAGGAGGGGACATCACACAGGCCTGGGCAGCCGGGCACAGGGTCAGGGCACAGTCCCTGGTACCCGCCTGGCCCTCAGGGTCTCAGTCCCAGGGCGGGTCTGGGCCAGGGAAACAAGTGCAGGGGAGTCCCCACCTCCTCCAGGGTCACTACCCCTCTCACAGCCTTAGTGAGCTCCTTCGGCCCGGATACACGTGATGAGGACATAACTCGCACTCCTATTGAGCAAGCGGCTTCCAGAGGAGCCAACCTGCTGCTTGAAAATTTTCCCCCCTCATCGCGGGAACGCCCATAATCAGAGTCAACTTAACTGCAAAAATGAGGTCCCTGCTACCCAGGACCCTCCTGCTGCTGCTCGCGGGGGCCCTGGCCCTGACCGAGACCCGGGCGGGTGAGTGCGGGTCGGGAGGGAGACGGGCTCTGCGGGGCAGGAGCGAGGGGAGCGCGGAGGGGACACAGGACCCCGGGGAGCCGCCTCAGTCCCGCCCTTACCTTCCCCATGGTAACTTTACTGTTTAGCAAGCCGAAGGACTCTTCCTTCCCTGCCGCCCCAAGCGAACTTAGACCCGGAGTATGATTCCGGATGGGGGTCTGGGGGTCGTCCCTGGTTTCAGCCCCTCTCTCCCCCAGGCTCCCACTCCCTGATGTATTTCATCACCGGCGTGTCCCGGCCCGGCCTCGGGAAGCCCCGCTTAATCGCCGTGGGCTACGTGGACGACACGCAGTTCGGGCGCTTCGACAGCGACGCTGAGAACCCGAAGGCAGAACCGAGGGCGCCGTGGATGCAGCAAGTGGAGCAGGAGTACGTGGACAACCACACACAGCGTGGTAAAGAAGCGACACGCTCTAACATTGTGTACCTGAACACCCTGCGCAGCTACTACAACCAGAGCGAAGCCGGTGAGTGACCCGACCCTCCCCACGTGCGCCCAGGACGCTCCGGGTCCCCGGGGCCGAGGTCCCCCCACCCCGAGACTGCGCGCACCAAGAAACCTTTGGCGGGAAGAGCCCGCAGGTTTCATTTTCGGTTTCCACTGAAATCCAAGCGGGTCGGTGAGGGCGGGGGCGGAGCTGCGAGGGCGGGGCTGACCGCGGGCGGCGATAGTCTCACACACTCCAGAAGCTGTACGGCTGCGAAGTAGGGGCAGATGGACGCCTCCTCCTCGGGTACTGGCAGTGGGCTTATGATGGCGCTGACTACATTGCCCTAAATGAGGACCTGCGCACCTGGACTGCAGCTGACGCAGCAGCTCAGATCAGCAAGCACAAGTGGGAGACTAGAAGTCATGCTGAGGACATCAGAGCCTATCTGGAGGGGGAGTGTGTGAAGTCTCTGCGCAGATTCCTGGAATTGGGGAAGGAGACGCTACAACGCACAGGTGTGCAAGGCTAGTGGGGCCAGCCCTCACCCACCTCCCCTAGGGCTGGGGCTGTGGAGGAGGGGAGGAAAGTGGGACCCAGGACTATGTCCCTCTCTCCTTACAGTTACAGCTTGGATGTCCTCCCTTCCCTCAGTATAGAAGAGGGACCTGGGTTGTACAGGCATAGAAGATTCTGAAAGGAATCCTCTTGGTGCCCTGGACTCCCGCTGGGTCCTGTGAGCTGTGACCCCTCCCAGGCCTGTCCTCAACCTCAAGCCAATGCACTGGGAAGATTCAGGGTTCTCAGTCTCTGCCTCCACTTAAACCACATCCCGTTAATCCCTTCAGAGACCCGGGTCCTCCCAGCCTGAACCATACCTGATCCTATATCTTTGCAGACAACAGATGATCCCATTGTCTTTATCCAGGCCAGGTCTGAGCTTGCAATGCTCCCTCACCCCAGTCCTCCTGTCTATTCTAAGGATGGACACTAAGTGCAGCTTTGGTGGCACATGAAGAACATTAAAGGCCTGAATTGTCCAAATTTTCCCTCAGACCCACCCACAGCACATGTGACCCACCACCCAGTCTCTGACCAGAAGGCCACCCTGAGGTGCTGGGCCCTCGGCTTCTACCCCAAGGACATCACACTCACCTGGCAACGAGATGGGGAAGACCTGACCCAGGACCTGGAGATGGTAGAAACCAGGCCTGCGGGGGATGGAACCTTCCAGAAGTGGGCAGCTGTGCTGGTGCCTTCTGGAGAGGAGCAGAGATACACGTGCCAGGTGGAGCATGAGGGGCTGCCTGAGCCCATCACCCTGAGTTGGGGTAAGAAGGACAGAAACTGGCAGAGCCTTCAGCAGGGTTGGGTCCGAAACCAGGGTGTCAGAGCCCCTCACCCTTCCTTCCCCTCTCAGAGCCTCCTCACCCCACGGTGCCCGTGTGGGGAGTCATCGCTGGCCTGGTTCTCCTGGCAGCTGTGCTCATTGGAGTTTGGTTGCTGCTGTGACGATATGAAATGCTCAGGTAGGGCAGGGTGAGGGCTGGGTCTGAGTCCTCTGTCCCACAGGGAGAATATCTGTCACCCCATTCCTGGGAAGCACCATGCACACACAACTGCACCCACAGCCTGGCCCAATGTGCAACACACTGGCTCTAGTATGAAACACAAGTGAAGTTTGGGATGAATACTCCATGAGGATGACTCTAATCACCAGGACCTGAGTTCCAGCAATCCTTTTCAGGGGGAGGTCCCAGCTGAGGACACACCTCTAGGACAGGCACCTCCTCATCCTTTCCTGGTTCTGTAGCCACAGTTCTGGAATCTCTATGAAATGACCCAGTCCTCTGGGTTTCCTCTAGGCAGGTCCTCAGACCCTGCCTTCTCCCTGCCTCTCACTACTTGTTTTCTCTCCCAGGTAGGAAAGGAAGGAGCTACACCAAGGCTGCAGATAGGCACTGGGGTGTTTTTGGGGGTGGGGGAGTCCCAGGACACTTGCCATGGTCACATGCCCATGGGGAGGCTGCCCCACCAACCCTTAGCTCCTCCCTCAGCCACACACCCAGGGCTCTCACCAAGTCCTGATTGGTTCTCCCAGGTGGGGACAGTGCCCAGGGCTCTGACTGCTCTCTCACAGCTTGAAAGGGGAGACCTAAAGGGTCTATAGGGGAAATTGGGTGGTTCTGAGGGGAAACTGAGGGGCTGGGGGATTACTTGCATTTGCACATTTTCATGTGTGCTGAGCTGTCCCTGTTTCCGTGTGCAGTGACCTGAATTTGTCACCTTGTTTTTATAGCATGAGACAATTGCTTTGTATCAGACAGAGGGATAGAACCTTGCTCAAGTCCTCATCCTTGTGTCTTCAAAAAGCCCCACCCTCCTGATGATATTTTGCCAGCCCTACTTTCAGACCAGCAATGGTTTCCCAATGAAACTGTTGAATTTGAGGGGTTGGGAGAATCCCAGAGCCTATACAACTTTGTATAAAATGAAATAAATGTAGTTTTTTTTAAAAAATCTGTCTTTCCAATAAAGATAAATAATAATTAAAGAAGCACCATGGGGCCGGCAGTGTGGCCTAGTGGCTAAAGTCCTTGTCTTGAACGTGCCGGGATCCCACATGGGCCCCGGTTCTATCCCAGCAGCCCAGCTTCCCATCCAGCTCCCTACATGTGGCCTGGGAAAGCAGTCGAGGACAGCAAAAGATCTTGGGACTCTGCACCCATGTATGAGACCTGGAAGATGATCCTGGCTCCTAGCTTCAGATTGGCTCAGTTTCGATAATTGTGGTCACTTGAGAAATGAATCAGTGGACATAAGATCTTCCTCTCTGTCTCTCCTCCTCTCTGTATATCTGAATTTGTAATAAAAACAAATAAATATTTTTTAATTAAAAATATTAAAAATAAAGAAGCACCATGAACCTTCCAGAAGGCATGTGTTTGCTGTGTTGAGTTGGCTGCAGGAAGGGACAGGAGAGGCTGTGAGGCCCTGCATGAGTACGGGGCTGTCCCCAGTCTGTGCTCAGTCCATCAGGCTTTGCCATTGTCACCTATGACCTGACCCAGCTGCCTCAGTGTCCTGATCTCTCTAGTAAGATGTGCCCACCAACACTTGCCATCACAGGACTCACAGAAGCCAGCCTGCCCTATCTCATGGACCCAAACAGTGGATGCTGCCCGAGGCCAAGACAGTCAAAGCTCAGGCTTACATTCAGCACTTGCTCCTGTCTTTCTGTGTTCATTCTGTTCCTTAGTATTGTTGACTGATTGCACCTGCTCTTCCTGTGTGTGAGCTCTGGTGGCCTTCACCTCTGTGTGTGCAGGAGGCAGTGTGGGAGGGAGGGAAGGAGGGCAAGACAACAGAGGACACTTGTGAGAAAGCACAGGCTGCATGGACACAAGTGGAAGAGGACGCCGCTCTGCAGCAGCTACAGGCAACCTCTGTCTCGGGCTCCACTAATGAAGATATCAGGTCTGGAAGGGGCAGATGCAACACGCTCATCACTCAGGTCATCCTGCTGTAGGTGAGACCCAGTGCTGGGCAAGTTGGTCCAGAGTGGGTGTGACGGCTGAGGCAGTGGCTGTCTCACCACCATGGTCAGCATGCATTGCACTGAGAAGGTGACCCTGAGGAAGATTGGAAGGACACCAGCAAAGTGTCTGAGCAGGTGCTTTGCTTGAACGGGGCGACCAGTGCAAATACCCTGGGCAGGAACAAGTCTGCACACAGAGCAGGGAACCATCAGGAAGGCTGTGTCAGGGCACCATCGTCCAGCAGGCCTCACGCACACTGGAAGGCTCAGTCCTGGTTCTGAGTGAGGTGGCAGCCACAAGACAGCTCCAAGCAGAGGAGAGACATGTGTGCACCTTCTCCTGTCCAGGGACCACCCTGGCTGCTGTGTGAGGACAGGGCTGAGAGACTGTGAGGCTGGAGACAAAGCTGTAGGAGTTCCTGCTGTGTCCAGGCAGGATGTCATTCACTATGTGAGTATGGGCATGGGCAGAGTTGGAGAGATGAGGTTCTGGATCTTTCTGCAGATGGATGCACAGCACTCCCTGTGGACTGCATCCAGGGAATGAGAACAAAGAGTGAAGGAGCATACCATGGGCTTTAGGCTATACCAGTGCAGGTAGCATCGTGAGAGAAGGGCAACCTGAGAAGGTGAATTCTAAGAGGGGCCACCCAGGTTTTCAGTGCATTAGCAGTGGGAGCCAGGATGTCGGTGAGAATTGAGTGACACTGCGGGGCTGGTAGTTACCATGATTCAGCGGCTGAACAGAAATATCTGTGTGGGAGACTGCTCCGGCCAGTAGAGCCAGTAACATGGACATGGCGAGGGTCTGGGGGATGAGGCACCCACAAGAGACCAGTGATGGTGGAAGTCTCTCTCAGCCTCTCTTTATTACCCCTTATATAGTCTTTCCCCAAAGCACATTAACCAAACAACAGGATGCCAATGAGTCCCATTAGACCAAGTGCTTTTAGCTACAAGCCCATTTCCTGTAGTGTTCAACTTAAGGAGTGCTAATTTTGCAGTCAGGAGCAGAGATGGGGTACTCAGAGAGTGAGTGGCTGTGATGAGAGTGTGTGCAGGACCAAGCCCTGGACCTGCAGGGCTAAGTGGAGGCACCAAAGCCATAATCTAGCCATGCAAGGCTGAGATCACTGTGAGAACCTGGAACTTCAGATTTGCTGAGGGCATCCCATGGTCACTAGGAGGCTGGACAGCCTGGATTGGCCAGATCTGCATGTGGCTCAGGTGGTCGTGACACACCACCCCCAGAAAATACTCAGCAGCCGGAGGGGAAATAGGATTCCAACCTGGTCCTCAGCCTCCCCTGAAGGACAGTCATAATGGCACATCTGGGCCCTGGACACCACACAGTGAGGGGCCACTCTGGCAGACACCTGGGTGTAGGCGACCCAATTTTACTTAGGATCATGCAGGCTCACAAGGTGGGACACACACGCCGCCAGTTGTGAACCACACCTGCTCCAACCTCTCACTGTCCCCAGGCTGTTGTGCTGGGCAGGACCATCAAGATGCTCGGTAGGGCAGGGAGTTCCAAATCAAAGTCAGCTGTATGGTTCCCAGGGCGGCCCCACCCTCACCGGGCACCTTCCTGTTTAGCTGGGATGTCAGGGGGGAGGGGCAGTCACCGCAGGCTCAGCTAGTGATGTTTCAGCTCCCAGTGTTCACATCTGGACAGGGCACAGCAAAGATCAAAGGCGCCACGCCTGTGTTCTCTGAGAGCCCCACAATCAACCTCACTGTCACCCACACTGGAAACCATTGGGTCATGGGCAGAGAGCACCACAAGATGAGGGAGGTGTCAGAAAATTATGTTTATTTATTTGAAGATTTCTGTCATCTTTGTGAAAAGGAGAGTGCTCCCCCCATCTCCTGGCTCATTTCCCCAATTACCCACAGAGCTGGGACTAGGGCAAGCCATAGCCCAGAGCCCAGAACTCAGTCCAGCTATCCTTGTGCATCATCCTCTGCCTCCCAGGGCATGTACTGGGTGGACACTGGGCCGAAAGTGGAGCCAGGACTCCAACAGAGCACTGAGATGGGACTGGGCGTCCCAAGCTGTGTCTCCACCCTATGGAAAAATAAAGGACACAGGTGGTCAATGCCAACCAAGGACATTGGAGACATACAGTGTCCTCTCTCCTGCTGGGGCAGCCCAGGAGGAAAGTTCAGGAAGCGGCCACAGCTGAGCACACACAACCTCCCAGGATCTCCCTGGATCCTGCTGCCTCACATGGTGCAGAGCATGTATTCTCACTCCTTGGAGCCCACAGTGAAATCCAGGAGTTGCCAGTATACACTGCACCTGTCTATGTGACATGGGTCTGACAGAAGGCAGAGGACCTGGTTGAGGCTGCAAAGTCAGGAGCAGAATCCATGGCCTCACCCTGGGTGGTCCTAACCCTGCATCTGAGGAACCACAGCCCTGCTGCTGGGCATAGAGGGCACAGCTCATATCCCTGACCTGACTCTGGCCCCAAGTCTGCATCAGGATTGCTACCCCACTGCTTCTGATTTTTACATTAGAGATGCCTAGGGGTGCTGATTTTGCAGCTCTGAGGTGTGACAGAAATGCTTCTGTTGGGACACGGCATGGTGTCCCAGTGGCCAAGTCCTCACCTTACACATGCTGGGATCCCATAGGGGCTCTGGTTCATGTTCTAGCTGCTCCACTTCCCAGCCAGCTCCCTGATTGAGTCCTAGAAAAGCAGAGGAGGACAGCCCAAAGCCTTGGGACTCTGCATCTGAGTGGGAGACTGAATAAGCTCCTGGCTCCCGGCTCCACATCAGCTCAGCTATGGCCATTGTGGCCACTTAGGGAGTGAACCAGCTGATGGAAGATATTTCTCTCTGATTCTCCTTTTTTTTCCTCCTGTAAGATCTGAGTCTCCAATAAAAATAAATAAACCTGTTTTTAGAAATGATAAAAGGAGACTTCACTGCTAATTCCAGAGAAGCACAAAGGGTCATAAGAAACTGACTACTCTACTAATCCAGCTCCCTGCTAGTGGCCTGAGAAAGTAGCAAAAGATGGCACAAGTACTGTGTGCTTCGCCCGCATGAGAGACGCAGAATGTATTCTGGGCTTCTGGCTTTAGCCCAGCCCAGCCCTCATGTTGTAGCCATTTGTGGAGTGAACCAGTGGTTAGATTTCTGTGTCCTGTCTCTCCTTCTCTCTCTCCCTCTCTCTCTCACTCTACCTTTGTCAGTCTTCTCTCAAATAAATTGCTTGTTCTAAAACTATCCCAGCATATCGTTAAGTGGGGTATCTATCTGAGGTAAGTGCGTGAGGATCCCAGGGTGCTCACAGCTGGGGTTGGAGCCCTTCCGCAGGGGGGTCTGGCTGAGGAGGATTTCCCTCTCACCTTCATCTGCCTGTGAGAATGAGGCTCCTCACCACAGTCCCCAGTGCTACAGATACCCTGGGGCATCATAACACATGCACCTGCCAGTGCCCACTGTGGGCCCTCCCAGCCCAAGCAGAGGAACTAACACAGGAACTAACACTCAGGCAGTACCTGAGACAACAGCACCAAGGGCACTGCACCCTCATGTCTCCAAGTGGTGGGCCAATAAGATGCAGAACTGCAGCAGGACAATGCACATCCCTCTTTTCCCTTCCTCCTCTGATGACTGCTGAGCTCATGACCAGTCAGAGTGTCCACTCAGACAGATCACTATCACTCCCTGGGAGTTCAGACAGCCTGAGAGAGTGGCTGAGGTTACACAGTCCCCACCTGCAGTCAGCAAGACCAGAGGGGAATCCTGACCCAGAAGGTGAAGGTGTGGTGACCAAGGGCTACAGGCTAGTGGGCTTCCTGCTGATGACAGACACCAGGAGCTCTTCACATGATGCAGCCCATGATGGCTGCAGATGGACACTCGGGGGCTCTGAGAAACACACTGAGTGTAAGACAGGGAGCCAAGGCTAAGGTCAGCTCAGGTGTTGGTCCACTCCTGCTGCAGGCAGAGATCCCAGCCCAGCTCAGGCCACATCACAAGGGACCCTGGATTTTTCTGCCACCACTGCCTGGCCTGGGTGGGGTCTGCCCCTAGGAGAAGTCAGGCCAGCAGACAGGAAGGACAGATCTGCTCCCCTCCCACACAGGCTAAGCCAGCAGTGGCAGCTGCTGGGCTGCTCCCTGCCTGGGCCCGCCACCACTGTATGCAACGGGGCCGCTGCTCAAGTTTCAGATCTGTTTCCTTAGGGTATCGGCAGGTGTTTGAGGAGTACATGCGGGTCATCAGCCAGTGGTACCCAGAAATCCTAATTGAAGGAGAGAATTTTTAAAATTTTTATTTTATATCATTTTATGACATAGTTTCACAGGTTCCGGGATTCCCTCCAGCCCGTTCCCAAGCCTTCCCCCCACATTGAATTCCTCCATATTGTTTTTTTAAAAATATTTATTTATTTCTATTACAAAGTCAGATATACAGAGAGAAGGAGGAGATACAGAGAGGAAGATCTTCCGTCCGATGATTCACTCGCCAAGTGAGCGCAACAGCCAGTACTTTGCCAATCTGAAGCCAGGAGCCAGGAACCTCCTCCAGGTCTCCCACACAGGTGGGCTTTGGGCCATCCTTGACTGCTTTCCCAGCCACAAGCAGGGAGCTGGATGGGAAGCTGGGCTGTCAGGATTAGAACCGGCGCCCATAGGCAATTCCAGCGCATTCAAGGCGAGGACTTTAGCCACTAGGCCATATCACCAGGCCCCAAATCCTCCATATTGTTACAGTAGTACAGATCATATCCAGTCATTATTCCTTCATTGCATGTATGGACCATGTGGAGAGCCCAGCTTCTTATTGTTGAAGGAAAGAATTATCTCCTTCGGGCCCAGCGCGGTGGCGCAGTGGTTAAGGTCCTCGCCTTGCACGTCCGGGATCATAGTCCCACTGCACGGCACTGGAAATGCTTTCACATTAAGGGATTTTACAAGAGCAATATGACTAAAGACAGCAAGGTGTATACAGACCAGATGCTTTTTTCACTGGCTCGTTGACCTCTTCGGAAACCTCAATGCAAGATAGATTTTCAGTGCTAGCACATTTTGGAATTCTGCACATTTCACAAAGTGCAATAATACTGCATAATTTTCTCCCTATCTTAAATTTATCTAGTTAATAAGTGTTGTTTTTTAAATGTAGACATTATTAATTTTCTTAGTCATATTTGAAAAAGAAAATTGAGTAAATTTGACTTATTCTCAAAGATACCTGTTACATCTGCTGTGCTTTTATATTAATTTGTTATGGTTTGAAAAAAATCAGTCTGTTTGGGAACATAGCTGAAACTCCCAAGTACTTTACAAAGAGTTCAACTAGACATCTTTAATTTGGTCATTCAAATTTATGCAGTTTTCAAAATACTGCAGATTGTGAACAGTGCTTATTATACAAGGCTATAGAGGAAAATCTAATATCCAAAGTACTCTACCAATGTGTGTGTGTGTGTGTTTACCAGAGAACTACTATAATATCAACTGCTTTTTAAGCCATGTTATATAATTCAAGCATCTTGCCTTGACCAGTCTAATGAGTTGATTAACTGGGCCTTTCTACTCAACTAAATAAAAAACTAAGTAGATGTCAGTTAAATAAAAAAAGTTTGAATTTGTTGCTCAGTATACCTGTTAACGTATTATTTAGCAACCGTATCTCCTATTTTTTGTTTTCACTATCAGATAATTTCATAAGGCACACACTTGAGGATCACTCCCCATTTTTAGGATAGCTGAAATTCACTCAGTTGAATCTTTGCAACATTGATATTAATTGAATAGAGATCACCTGTCTGATAGTTTAATTTGTTGAATATTTTAGAACTATATTTGAGGAATATAATTGGAAAAATTTTAATATTATCTACAGTTCTAAAATGGCAGTTTAAACAAAGTTAAACTGATGGACTGTAAGAATAACTTAGCAGAAATAAGTCTATAGTGTGGAAAAATAATAATATTGTATCAGTACAACATACAACTTTGAAATTGGAATACAGTGGTAAAGCCAGTGGGAGGCGTAGGTGTGTTAGAAATAAAGGGACTGAAGGCAACATGACGTCATTCAGCCTTGGTTTCGCCTAACACGTAGCTGTTTTTAAGACCTTATTTGAGGATATTTCAATGATTCATGGAACATGGAGTTAAAAGTAGGTTTATTTTGATGTAAAAAAATTAAAATCTATACATTTGAAGAATCTTCAAAATTAGTGAAAATGCATATTATGGAAAAGCTATGCACAGATTAATTTTTGCACCAAAATAAACATCTTTAATCCTGTTTTCCATTAACTGTTTGAAATATTTTTTGGACTTACATGTTGTACACCTAATGTACCATTCTGGAAGCTGGTCTGACAGTTCACTCCACAAACTCATTAAGGATTATCCTTTTTGTTAATAATAATTTAGATTATCTGTTAACAACATCGACTTCTTAATGTAGTGAAATGAAGTATTACGATTTAAGGTCAAATTTCCTTAAAGATTATCATTAGTTATCTCTGAGAAAGCTTAAAATTACCTTTGTTAGTTAGACACTCCAAACTCCTCATCTTGTGCAAGTTGGAATGTCTTGCTGAATCTTTCCAGGGATCTGTCCATAGAACATGCCAGCAGGTTGGCTAATGTTATTGGATTTTTTAGTATAATGGCCATTATGGAAGAAATTGTTCATCATGTTAATAAAAATGCTAGTAAAACATGGCTTTATACCTCAGTTTGTAAAATCTGTAAGACAAGTATGCTTTGGGAATATAAATTGCATTATTTGCTTAAGGCAATAGGATTCTTATTTTGAATGTTAGTTTGGAACTTTGATTAACTGGCCAACATTCCATTAATTCATATTTTAACATTAGCCCTCAGGATTTTTAAACATGGTTTGATACTCTGAAGCTTTAGTTATTATTCTATTTATTTATTTACATCTTTTTGGAGAAATAAGTGAGGAATTATAAAGTTTGGGGACTTACCTCTTTAGAATTGTGAAAATAGACTTTAAAAAAAGAAAGGAGAGACAGAAAGAATCTTCCCTCAGCTGGTTCACTCCCCACAGTCACTACAGCCAGAGTTCACTCCCCAAATGGCTACACAGCCACAGCTGAGCAGATCCAAAGCCACGATTCAGGAGTTTCTTCCTAGTCCCCCATGCGGATGCAAGACCCAAGGACTTTGGCTCTGCCCTGCTGCTTTCCCAGGCCATAAGCAGATGGGTCAGAAGTGGAGTCACAAGGACACAAACCAGCACTGATATGGGATCACGGCATCACAAGCAACAGCTTTATATAATGTGCCCTGTTCTTTTTTTTCATTTGGAGATTATGAAACTGGAGCAGTCAAGCTTCAATTTCTGCCTCTGGGAACTCTAGATTCCTTAGTGGCACCAGGGGACCCAGGAGTTGACACCACAGCCTGACCATTGGGCTGCTTGCTGCCATGTGGTCTCTTGGTGGCCCCTGCTGGTCATCCAGGATAGGCTGGCTCACACAAAGAGAGAAACCAATGTTCTAGAGGGCTTTTTTATTCCTTCAGGACCTTCCCTCCTCAGCTGCCCAAAACTCACAACCAGCCTTTGTAAGGAGATCGGTGACCCATGTGCACTTACTCTCAACCCCTTTGTCATCCTGGCTCCTCTCCTGCACCTCCATCTGCATGGCACCCTGTCCCTGATGTCACCACACAGCAAAGGAGTGGAGGGCCAGTACACGGCCCTCTCCTCCCTGCAGCCCCACATGGCAACAGAGCCTTGGCTCTTTCGGATTCATGCAGGATCTGAGTGCCTACTGTCAGTAGGTATGACTCTATTGCAACTTTGACCAACAGCCCTAAGTTCCTGTGCTTAGGGGCCTTACATTTCAGAAGTTTCTCTAAAGTTAAATGGAGGGTCAATTTAAGGTTTGTATTTGTTTATTTATTTATTTATTTATATGAAAGGTGGGGTAAGGACAGACACTATGGCATACCAGTTTAAGCTGCCACCTGCAACCCAAATATCCTAGATCAGAGTACCTGCGTGACTCCCAGCTGCCCTTCTGCTGCTAATGCAGCTGAGAGAGCAGGGAAAGATGCCCAGGTGCTCAAGTTCCTCCTCCCTCCTCACAGGCCTGGATTGTGCTCCCTCTGCGCTGCTTCAGCACACCAGACAGGGGTTTCCTCTGCCCCTCCTCCCCACTCCTCTCTCTCCTCCCACTTTGTGTGTGTGTGTTTATGTGTTAAATCAATAAAATTTAAACAGAAAGGAAGGGTGTCAGGCAGCAATTGAGCTGTTGGAAGGATGCCTATTTTCCATGTGTCCATGCCCAAGCTTGAGTGACAGCACGCTACCAAACTCAGGTTCCTGTTACTGTGCGCCTGGGAGGCCGTGGTGATGGCTCAAGTACTTGGGATGGTGAAACACTTTGAGTTCTGTCCTCTTGACTTCCACTTGGCCCAGCCTGGGTTCTTACAGTCATATGAGGGGTGAACCAGCAGGTAGATCTCTCTCTCCCTTGTTCCCTCTTAGTTTCTCTCTTTCCATTAAATAAACAAATCAATAAGTAGCAGGTAATGCATGAGCACTGCTGAGGAACTTACTGACTGCATTGCACAGCAGCAAACTTGAGATGATTAAAATGTGCAGAAGCTTCTACTTGATAAACTCAGTAGCTCACTGTGCCTCAGGGTTTATCTGGACAGCATCACTCCTTCCCCACTCTTACACTGAGCATTCCTTGGCTATATTTCACTTTACATTATTGTTATCACTTGGCTATGTTTCACTGTATGTCATTGTGAAATCATTACATGGAGAATTCCAGAAAAAATTCATAAGCATTAAATCACACCTTTTTATTTATGAACTTAATAATTACCACAGAGTGACACAAAGATGGCAAGAGCCCTCTGTCTTCTGATTCTCTCCCCAAGTGCCAACAAAGCCAGGTGGGGCCAGTTCTAGTTCCAGGAATCTGCAGCTCCTCCTGGGTCTCCCATGTGGTGGGAGGGACCCAAGCACCTGAGCCACCACCTGCTGCCTCCCAGGCTGCACAGCACGAAGCTGGAGCACAAGCAGAGGAGCCAGGCCTCACCAGGCTCTGATACTGAATGGGGCATCCAGGGCAGGGATTTACCTTTGTACCCACTGCCTGCTCTGTGCTCCTGAGGGCTTGGAGGAAATCTCTCACTAATTTGTCTGTCTCACACAGGGTGTGAGTCCTGTCTGTGTCCAGCCTGTCTACACTGCACTCACTGCACCCCGTTAGGCACCTGGAGGCCTCCAGGGTTAGATGGACCTGGTGGTACTGTGTTCCTGTGTTCAGTGTCCTGCCCTAATGGCCCAGCTGCCCCCACAGAGCCCATCGCCCCCTCACTCCATCTCATCACACAGCCCTGTACCCCCTCACACCATCACAGGGAGAGAAACAGCACCATGACACACTCAGAAATCACAGAGTTCCTGCAGTGCATTGCTGTAACTGTGCTGTTTTATTATTGCTTGGTGTTGCTAAGATGTTACTGCTCAAAACATACACATTCACTTTGTCACAGGTGTGCACAGTGCAGGGGTCGGTGTGTCCAAGTTATCAGCATTCCCTGGGGGTCCGGGGTTGCATCCATGGTGGCCATGGAGGGACCCCGTGCTGACTGTGCTCTAGATTCACACACAGTCTCAGAGCTGGAGGTGGGGAGGATAACCCAGGGCACAGGTGCACTGTCTGGGAAAGTGCACCTGGAGCGGTGGGAGTGTGGCTGGGACACTGCTCACTCTGAGGTATGAAGGGATCACGTGCCCCTCTGTCACAGACGGGGTTCTGATCATTCAGGGGGTCACCTCTATGCAGCACATGGGGCTGAGAAACTGCAAGGCAGGGCTCCACGGGCTCTTAGATAAGACTTCCCAGGGGAGGGAAACTCGGTGTCTCTCCCTGTGCTCCCCAGGACTGCAAACAATCTGCCTTTAAAGTTTCTGCAAGTGAGTTTCCTTCTATAAGAGTCTGGCTGGGGGTCAGAGGAGTATCAGCTCAGTTCAGGGAGAGAAATCCTAAAAGAGAAGTGGGGTGGGCCTGGTCAGGGTCTCTCCAGCCTATCAGATTCCCTGGGCAGCTTCAGGGAGGGGACTGGGCACTGGGAGAGGACCTAGGGGCAGGCCGAGCCCACAGTCCTGGCTTCCCCCTAGTGATCTCAATCAGAGGACTGAACTGGATTACA